AAAGAGTGTGGCAGCTCATTCGACCTACTCAGCAAAAGGTGGACTGGTTGAAAATTCTCTGGAAAGGTAAGGCTATACCGAGCAATCGTTTGATTACTTGGTTGGTAATTAGAGGTAGTATACATACAAAGGAAAGAATGCAGAAATGGGGGTATTTGGGATCGTTGGCTTGTGCTTTTTGTGGGGGAGGGACCGAGAGCAGACATCATTTGTTTGCACTCTGTCCTTTCACCAGGCAGCTCCTTGATAAGTTATTTAGTGGCTCTATGCAGGTTCCTTTAATCCAAACTTGGGAGGACATGGTTTCATGGATAATGTTGAAGTATAGCCAGCAAACTGAAGTTGCTGAAACGGGAAGGCTCATCTGGCAATCGTGGGTAAGTCAGGTTTGGAGAGAACGTTGTCGTAGATTGTATGGAGTTAATACTAAAGGTTTTCATGAGGTGTTGTTTGTCATTAAATCTGAGGTTGTCTGTGTTTTATGCTGTGATAGGGTGAGACTCTTTTGGGATGTTTAAACTGTTATACGTCTCAGAGGAAGGTTTACATTACTTGTTTTCACAGATTTGGTTAGACTCCCTAGCTAGCAAGGGTGTTGTTAGCAACCACTTTTTTTATGAATAAAGATCTCAATGTTTCATAAAAAAAATGAACAAGGAGGAGAGTTGTGGCCATGTTTGGATCCACACATTTCAAAAACTAGGAAAATAATAAGAGTTGTTCTTCCCACTGTACATTACATGCCACCACTACCCACTACTAGCTACTATACTTCCTCCATGTTTTGCATTATTTGTGTAATAGCTGAAGATGTTGGGGAAATACATTATTTTTTCCAAATCCTAGTATTTTGTTCTAATTACAAGATTTGCAGTGACTTGGGATCATGTTTCTAGACATATATATTTAGTTAACAAACTTGGCCAGCTTGTGCTACGGCAAAAACTCTAAAAGAGCACAAACTCATTAGCATCATGAAATTACTTAATATTGGACAATTAGTACATTCCATCATTTCTCGTAGCTGAATGTGTCGTTATATTATTCGTGTAACAACTCCTCACCATCGCCACCCAAATTACATAAGCAAACATCATACACAGAGAAACAAAAATACCATAAAGATATCTATCCAGTAGGATAATTTTGAAGCGTCAATTTTGTCTACAAAGTGTTCATCCCACCTATGCAGTACACCATACTACTAAGTAATAATTGAAATACCATATCGGAAGTTGTACTGAAAATATTAGCGGCAGAGTATTTTATGCTAAAACCGTGATTTAATAACGGTTCAACAATTTTATATTGTTAAATACCGCTACCACTATAACATTTTTGTAGTCGAACCGCAAGTATGTTTTTCAATCCTTACAACAAAGTGAAAAATGAAAAGATGGGCTTTGTTTATTTACAGATCGGCACCCTCAAGATTCAGCCATTGACAGTGTGGAAATATTATTATAAGAAAAAAAGATGAGTGCAGCGGCGTTGCCAGCGAGAGTTGCCTCCCGGAGCTCGACAAGCTTCAATGTCGCAACCCCAAGATTTGGAACATTGCTCTTCTCGTCTACATTTGTTTATTCGATTCTTCTATGCACGTACCTGCAGGATTTTCTACTGTATGTATGTATTAATGAGACACAGACCAAGTACAATGACCCATATTAATCAAACACCATATGGTTAACTGGTTAAGTGTTTTAACGGTTTATATATTGAAAAATCATATCATACCAGCGTTTTAACCACAAAAAACTCTTATTGGAGACTAAACGTGATATGTGGTATTTAGTGGTATGAAGCGGTTGAATCCCGGTTTTATCATAAAATTAATACATTACAACTTATTTTTCTTATACAAACAGTGTAGAAAATCTAGAACGGTAAAAACTACAAATTCTCGTGTCTTACCAATGTTTTAGAAATCCTATTGTACTGGCCCGTCGGACCAGAAATATTGCATACCGACTCCAAAACAGTAGGTGTTTTCAGCGGTTGGAAACGGTTGAACCACGATTTTTTAGTACAAAATACTCCATCACTGACTTTTTCGATATAACCTTCGACACGGTTTCGCAGTCCTTGGTCTTACCACACTTGATACAAATCATACTCTCATGATGCGATTATATTATGAGTGGTAAGTCGTGGGTACTTTAGGGTTTGTCGCCTTTAGATTTTGTTCCATAATTCAAAGGCTACAAAACTTGTGTTTTACCATCCCTGTTACGAATCATACTATCCCCTTATATGATTGTATTACGATAGTATAATTCATATCAAAAGTGGGTAGGTTTTGACATTTTGAACCCTATATTTTTTCATATTTAATGGCATATTCACCTCCTACAAACTTCACTCATATTTCATTATCCCATTTTACTGCCAAATCGAATTTGTTATTGTCACATCTCCAATCCATCCATTGGCAGCCGGTGGTAACATTGGAATTGTTCTTTATTGATTGATACTGTGGAAACCAAATCCAACAACACATCCTGCCCAGGAAAGAAACAAACAACACAATCTAACCTTCAACAGTTGTTTGTTGCTTCTTTTTCTGACAATGTTAAATCTAACCAAAATTTACTTACCCTCCCTCCATACACCAATGTTTGCAATTTTGCCCACATATGTACCCAACATTGCATCGATCGAGTCTAATGGGAGTGGTCTTCGAGGATCTCAAACTTACTTGAAATATGGGTGTATAAAGGAAGATTGTTTATCCAATGGGGCCTAGTTCTGGAATGATCCTACATCTTTATGACCAGTATGATCGATACGTTACATTTCTTAATGTCCTCTGCACCACCATCTCGATCTAAGCATATTCCGTTCGTCACATTTGTAGAGAGGGTAAAAAAAAAAGATTGACTACTACGTTAATCCTAGTGAGGACTATCACATGTGTGTACTTACTTCTCGGAGCATCCAACAATAGTTAAGTGCATTGTATTTTTTCGTGATCCTCGTGGAATAAAGTCTGCGCACAATATTTTAATGCAACATAATGTTGTTTTGGATTCACATTGTCCCTAAAAATAAGGTGTAACGAGACGGCTAACTCCAATCCTAGTTATCAATCCAATTACTTTCATATTTAAAAACAAAATGCATAGTATGGATTATAAATAGTTTTGAAATGATTTATTAATCAGAACAATATCCTATTTTAATACGTGCAGCAACACATCAAAATGAAATAAAAGTATAACGAATTTCCCCCCTCCAAATATCGACACATTTCGAGCTACATAAATCTATCTGCCCTGCTGTCAAACATGATGGAAATGCTGAGATTATTATTATAATTATGGGGAGAGGGAGTTCAAAGTTTAAGCATGTGAGGGGTGGATAGGGATGGGATTTTGTTCATCCATCCAAAGCAAATTCATGCTTATCCATCATTATTAGGAGCAGGGAATTGGGTTCTGCTTTCTGGTCATGTTCCCTAATCTCAACAATATAATATAATTAATTGATTGATTATTGATTAGTTTGTTTTTCATTAGTCCTTTTTCCTCTTTGTTAATCCCAAAGCCTTTTGATTAGCTGTAAAAAGAAATGCTTGTTTTTGTTTAAGAGACATGTGATGTGAGTGACGCATACAAAAGACAAGGAAGCTGCCTCGATCCATCCCCCTCCCTTCAATTCCTTTGCTCCCTAAACATGGAGTCTTCTTAACAATCTAAAAAAAATACTTGTATAGATGTAGTGTACAATACATGGTATTATGAATGCATACAATGTATCTTTTAAATGCGATCCCAGGAAAATGGCGGCATTCGTGATAAGACGATACTCTTGAGATGATTGGTTTTGAGTCTTGGTGTTTATCGGTTTATCTTTTCCTTTTGTCTCTTCGATTGTAGGAGTAATTCGATTCGATATCTATGACAAAACAAGAGCATATGAGAATTAAGTTTTTGATTATTGAAAGTGACTTTTAAATATGGGGAACAATACAATCCACTCCAGTGCATAAAGTGATCGTTCGTGACATTGTATCAATGAATTTAGTTTCAAAATTTTCATGTTTAAGATATCTATCTTGCTTTACTTCGATTCGGTGTGACAATGCATACTTCAATCCCTTTGAAAAAGAAACATGTTAACCGTACGGGAATCAAATAGAACCAAATTATAAAGAATGCATTCAGAATGATTTCGGTCTTCCCCGCCCTTCATCAACATTAATACAATCTTATACCGTTTCAATCCAACCTCAAACTCGAGTCGAATTGATGCCACTGCTATACTACACTCCCAACTTCCATCTTAATCTAGTTGCATAATGCTTCACTATTGTACTTATTTTCTCTCCCAATCCTAAGGATCATGTTCTTAGCCAAACTTTCTCAAACAAAAAGAAAATTAGAAAGTAGAAATGACTAATAGTTCGTTAATGCTAGGATTTGACAAGTAAACCATCTGGCTCCAATCGTCTTGATGATGGATTAGGCTTTCGATTTTCGAATAATTGTTAAGTGGGAGTAAGTTGACTCACCCCATTAATGGGGGCAGGCAGGCAGGCCCGCCTATCTCCAAAAGTCTACCTTACTTAGTCGGCCGTAAGTAGCCGATTAAAAGCAATAATTTGGTGTCATTAGCCTAACTCCGCCGGCTAATTACAACGTAGAATGAAGGGAATCCCGTTGTAATCAAGAAGCTATAGGCAAAAGAATACAAAAGTGATTTGAGGCGCTAAGCAACGCGATTAACGCACTAATTAATCCGACTTGCAATTTAATACTAAATAATTAAATTAGTTTGGAAGAACACAATTCATTGAGATAAGAAAAGAGAAGTGGCACATGGTGTGGTTAGACTAATAAAGCCTTTTCTATCATTATTAAACGTTCATACTACAAAACGAAATTGGAGTTGGGTTCTTTTCTTCATTAGTTAGCTGATACATGGATACATCTCGATTAGTTGTAAACAAGAATTAAGACCAATATTGACTAACGATGTAAGCACACGACATCTTAGGAGGCAACATCATCTATAAGAGAAAGAAGGTCAACGACAAATATGCGTTCTTGCTCCTGATATGGTGCTCAAAATGTATCCATATGCACATGTGTCGTCCCCATTCAAGAATATCGTTCAACCGGAGCGTAAAATCAAGACCTAAAACACTAATTGTGTTGAAAGTTAAAAAAAAAAAAAAAAAATAGTTTGCCCGAGCCACCAACTCGAACTTAATCCACGAATAAACCGCTCCCACGAGTTCGTCAGATGTCATTGCTAAATCACCTCCAGCCAGCCAATCCAATACAGCGGCGCATGGGTGCTTGCGTTGCCTTGATGAGCAATCAACCCCTCTTTGCTTATGTCAAACTCAAATTAGTCATTGCTCATCATAATTATTTTATAGCTTAAACTAATGAGCTTGCTGCTGCCAACGCACAACTAGCTTATGATTGATTGAAGTTAACAATCCGTTAAGCATTCAATCAGAGCCACATAATCATTAGTCCCATTAAACAAAGTTTTCAATCCTGAAACCCTAAACCTAATATTAGATCTAGAAACTGGATAACGTATAACAGTATGTCAGGCATCGTTTGACCTTTCTCCATGTCTCCCTCAGCTAAGACATTTCTCATAAGTACACAACATTAGATACAGTTATACACCAAACATCAAGAAAATTATAGGTTTTACTTTTCTTCGCACGATAACATAAAACGAATTGGGTTCTAATGACAAGAGGTTATTTGGTTTAACTCTGACATCTTTTATGGTGCTTGTCTCATCATATGCTCAAGCAATCAAATGTTCATTCTGATTGATGGGGCTCTCTATTAGAATGTGATAAGAAACAGAGAGAAAGAGAGGAAGCTGTAATAGGGATCTTACAGTATATATATATACAGGCCAACTGCCCTTGCTGTTAGCCTGCAACCGGTAGCTGCAAGCCAGTTGTTCCCTTGGGCCTCACGAGGTAAGCGAGTGTGACTTCTGACGCGGTAGACTCTCGACTTTCTTCTTGGAATGGTATCTCAAACATGAGCGACTGGTACAAACAAACCTCGTCTTCCTTGCAATAGTAAACCTGTAACAACAGATATATTACGCACGAGTCAGCACCTCTGGTAGCTTTCTTATTGAAAAAGATTCAGCACTTGCCATCTTAGGTTTGCAGCCTTACCTTGCACCCTATTTTCCCGGTTGCAACTGAGGAGGAAGCTCTCTTGTAGTGGAGGACAGCAGTTCCTTCCGGGCTAAGGTATCCATCCGAGGGATCGATGGACAGCACCTCTTCAGGTTCAGCATCGACCGTGAATTTACTTCTAGCTTCCTGCCCCAGAGATTCAGTAAATGAAAATCACGAGATCGACTTTAACAAGCATTAGTTTTCTGTTTAACGGATTTCAAAGTTAAAGACAGGGTTACCTTCGAGAAGTGGTACTCCTCGGGCAATGATATTCTAAGCAGCAGCTTTCCCTCATTGGTCGAAACTCCATCGACTTTAACTAATTGTGTATCGGCTGACGCTCTTCTCCTTAGACGTTTCAACGATCTAGATCTCGAAGCGGGAGGTAGAATGCCCTTCAGCTCCAGGGTACGAAGTTCGGGTTCTTCTTTATTCAAGTCCAAACACCGGATAACACTGTTGTTTGTATCAGCTATGATCAGTTTACCTGCATTTTACCAAGGAAAACTATTACAGTGCTATTACCAACAGAAAAAATGCAAAAAGAAATTGTGAACAGATATGACAGTCACTGAGTTGTAGTTAATATAAGGGTTAATACATTATTTTGGCTCGAACTATGACCATATAATCAACTTTGGCCTGTGGTTTCAGAAATTAACATCTTGGCCTCAACTATGCAGCATATAGACTTAATTGGCCCGACACGTGATTTGACCGTCAATTTGGACTGTCAACACGCCAAGTCATTATCTAGTCAGCCTAAAATTCATTAAAATTTTTCAAATTCAAATTATTTTCCTAATTTCTATTATTTATCATTTTAAAATTACCATAAAATAAATTTTAAAATAATTTGATAATTTTTGGTTAATTTATAAATTTTATCATTCTCAAATTACCAAAAAAATATTTTATATAATTTTATTTTTTGGTTAATTTGAAAAATATAAATACTAAAAATTAGAAAAATAATTTGAATTTGAATTTTTTTAATAATTTTTTGCTGACGAGACAATGAAATGACGTGTTGACCGTCCAAATTGACGGTCAAATTATGTGTCAAGCCAATTGAGTCTATATGCTGCATAGTTGAAACCAAAATATTAATTTCTGAAACCACGGACCAAAGTTGATTATATGGTCATAGTTCAGACCAAACTAAGGTATTAACCCATAATATAATTATATGTCTGGAAGACAATCACCTTTTTCCAGTTCAATGATACCTGCTGGTTCAGAGAGCTGCAAAAAAACACAAAGTCACTGTTACAAGCAAACTAGAAATAAAAGGAAGAAAAAGAGCCAAGATTATTCTTTACATGAAGGATGATTGAAGAAATTGAATAACCACCAAACCATACCTCGATTTATCTTTTAACATTCTCTGTGTGTGTGTGTTTTTTTTTTTTCTCTGCCTATATACCAACAGTAAAGAAACATTTTGTAAAGCAGTTTCTAACCTGAGCAGTTATTGCTTTTCCATCCGTGAAACCAGCTTTCCCTGTTCCAGCAATTGTTGTAACTCGTCTAGTTGATGGATCTAGCTTCTTGATCTGCCAAGTGATAAGGAAATTTTCGCAAAATCAACTTACGCAGCCATACATGAAAAATTTCTCTGGTAGCAACCAGCTAAAGAATCAATGAGACAATGACTTAAAAGATGCACCAAAAGACAGCATGATATAATGCTAACCTTGTGATTATAGCTATCTGCTATATAGATTTGACCATCTTTGGCACAATATACACCCAGGGGATGCTGAAGAAGTACTTCAGATCCTACTCCATCATGATCTCCAAACTGAAAATCCAGGTCCATAAGGTCAAGGTGTTTGTTTATAATAGCAACACTGTGCTAAAATTCCATTAAAAATTATGGGGGTGTTAACTGAATTACTACCTTAAACAAATTTTCAGGGAAAATCGGATCTCCACCAACTAGTAGCCTTGATCCTCCTGTCTTCAGATCAAGGGCCCGGACGGAGCTGCTTTCACTATCAGCAATGTAAAGCTCCTTCAAATCTGTTGATAAGAATTGGAGTGAAACTCTAATTTGTGATGAACACTGTTGGAGCAGTCATGATCTAGGCTATTGAGGGAAATGAAAGTTGTCAAAACATTACCAAACTTTTACCTGGAGAAAATGAAATCCCAGAGGGTTGAGCAAATGATGTACTCTTAGAGCTGTCCCAAAAATGAAAAACAAAATATTATACCAAATTTCTAGGAAGTGCATACTAATGCCAAAAAGTAAAAGAGATGTTAGGTGACTCGGTCTATATAAATATTAGAATTAGAATATACATGCCAAGGAAAGATAAACCAGTGGCATGACTAAGTGGAAGAAACAGAAGCCGATATAACTGTGAAGTCCAGTTAATGTCTTACTCTGAGCCATTCAAATTCCTCTCATAACCATCACCACTGAACACTTTAGTAACTCTATCCATAGTGTCGTGCTCCCATATCTGGTGTTGCCCAGCCATAGCAATGTAAACCTTCTCATTCACCGGCTCAAAGCATACGTCCCATGGAGAGTTGAGAACCTATAACAAGTAAAGTAGACTTTATAACCTGGCTGATACCAACAGCACATAAATTCAGGTCTTTAATTATGAATAACAAAATGTCTAGGAAAACAGAACTACGAAATAGAAAGACACCCAAACTTTATGAAGAATAATAGTAGAAGACCCATCCATCAATGACACCTAAACAATATTCATTTCCTTGCCTGGTCAGTTCCTTTTCCTCCTCCCTGGTAATCCTTGCCTTTGTTTCCATTTCCAGCGAGAGTCCGCACAGTATCATCAACCAAATTGATCTCCCTACAGTCATAAAAGCTCAAAATGACTGATCAATAAGTTAAAAGAGTATCCTAATCCTTTCATTCACATTCGTGAAGATTTTGTTGTTGATTGAGAGAGTATTAGTTAGAAGTCTCAACTGACCGCAATGCATGATTTTCTGTATCCGCAACATAAAGGAGATTTTTCTTCGGATTGTAAGCCAGACCCTGTAGAACCATGTAACAAAAAAGAGTTTAATCCAGGCACACCCAACCGTGAGTACAACATAAAATCAAGTTTCATCTGCCCATTTCCCAAGCAAAAAGCATGTGTTAGCCGTGAAGTGCCTTATGAAACTTCAACTTGAGATAATTGATTACCTGAGGGCGATTAAAGGCTGCAGTCTCAAAGGAACCATCACGAAGTCCTTCCTCTCCTGTGCTACCAACTTGTAAAATAAAGTTTCCATCCAGGTCCGTTATCACCTGGCTCCAACAGAACGAAGTAACGAGACTGATAAGTGTCAAACACTATTGGCACAAAATATCCCATTACAAAATTTGGTATTTACTCATTTCACTCATAGGAAACTCTCTTTATGTTGCAGCGAGCATAGTAATTTCAAGTGTTCTCTGTCCATGAGTAGAAAGAGAACATAAAATCTTACTATACGGTTGTGGTTGCTGTCTGAGATGAATAGTCGATTGTTAAGCACATCAATCGCCAGCTTTCCAGGAAACTTCAAAGGCGAATTGTAAAAACGTTGGTCCCTATTTTTCTCCAAGTTCAGTGGAATTGGGGTTTTATCCAGGATCTTTTTCTTGCCATAATAGAGAAGAGCTGCCTCAACCAAATCATCAAGGTCCTGAAGCAAAAGACAGAGAAAGTGAGGCATTCTTTCTAATGAGCTACATGCATGAAGTTAAAATAAGAGCTGCCTCTAGTAAATGAGCATTTACTATGGTAACTACAATGTAAACAATTTGGAGTACCTGTCTATGGCCTTCTCCAGCTACTTGTGCAAGAAGTTTTCCATTAGGACCAACAATAGCAAATGTAGGCCATGAATTGATACCTAGCTCCCGCCACAAATACATCTCTCCATCATTGACAACCTAGAGACAGAAATTTATTAGCATACATAAGATAGTAAACTGCATTCCTAACAGTTTACTAAAGATGAACATGGAGAAAACCAACATGCCATTGTATCTACCTTTGACATTCTTGAGCCCAAGCTACAAGATCAAACCAACCTTTTATAGTTTTTCTATGCCTAACTTATATATTCCCTTGCAAGTAGATATCTATCACCTCTACCCTCATTCTTTCATAGAGTTTTCAAGTGAGCGGCTGCATATCAAGTATCCTTCAATCTTGTGCTGCCAAAAGGAATTTCTTGTAAGAATATACATCACTTACTGGATGGGATATATTGTAGCGTAGAACTGCATTCCTTATGGCTTCTAAATCCTTCTCATTATCAAACTTAGCAGAATGTACCCCAACAACAGTAAACTGAAAACAAAGAATTGCGAATACGCGTGTCAGAGACAAAACAAGAAAAATAATGATAATAACAACAATAATTGAAGCTTTGCTGAAAGCATCACATGTGAAACTTCTAACAATAGTCATATAGCAACCCACAAAGAGAATGAAATGTTCCAAAGAGTTGGATAGCGCAATGCTTAGTTCGTTAAAGATTTCGGAGTTATGCAGTTCGGTCCTATAAGCTCACCATACAACCTAAAAACAAAATTCTTTATTGGGTCCTTTTCTGTTATCCAAACACAAGGATAGATTGTGGTATAAATTTATTATTTATGTTCTGGGATCTTTGATAAGAGCACATAGCTGGAGTGATATGCCCGACATGGTATCCAAATAGACATTTACAAGAATGAGCAAATATGACTTTACCGGCATATCTTTGTACTTCCTCTCCAGAAACTCTAGATCTGGCAACACATGCATACAATTTATACAGCAGTAGGTCCAGAAGTCCAGCAGCACGACCTTTCCCTTCAAATCCTGTTCAAAAGAAAAGAATAGCTCACCGCACACAATTACGATCTTTGCATTTCAAATGGAGGTAAAGTCAGATGTTTTTGGTAAATTCAGCACCAGAAATTGTTCATGCAATGTTCATATTCCATGCTCAAGTTATGGATCCTGGCTACAATGCAGAATTTTTTTGCAGAGGTATACAGAAATCCCTACGACCCAAACGTCTGATAGGTGAGAGAAAAACTGTCCACTGGCTCTTATAGATGTATTGATGATGATAATTGGATGCTTCATTATGGAGCTAAGATATTTGAATTGAGGGAAACTTACTCTGCGAAATTGAAGTGGAGCTGTGTTAAGCCAATCAAGTTTTGATGGGAATTCAGGGACTGTGGTAGTAGATCCCCTGAAAAGATAAATTTAATAAACTAAGGTTAAGTAAATAAGGGATTACATACACTAGTATTTTCATGTTAAGCACATGAAACCTAGTGCTTGTACAAATATCATAGTACTAGTGCAAAGACGTCAACATGGTCAAACTGGCATAATTTTGCTCACCTGGCTTCTAGATCAGATATATACTTGACAAATTGTTGGACTCTAGAGAACCGAGGTGTACCTACAGCCAATTGCAACTGGTTACTTGATGCACATAAGAAATATTGAAAAGGAAGGCCCTATTCTCTTAACCTTGAGAGAGCAGCTTACGATTAGCAACCAATTTCGGGAACCTCTATAAACTTGAAGGGTTGGCATAATGAACAACGGACCAGATAAGAAAGTCTAACTTCAGGAACAATCTATGAACTTCACGAATAGAAATTTCACTATAACTCAGAAGCAAGGTTGTCAACCCGTGGGTTGACCCGGACCCGGTCGAGCTAGTGGGTCAAGGGTTAATGGGTCAACTGTTTTAGCCCGGTTTGGCCCGGAAATATAGAAAGAGTCATTATATTGTACTTATCCTCATAAATTATATCAAATCTTATCTAACATATGAGTTATAACATATAATATTACACCAAAATAACATATCGTACTTAGATCCAACATATAGTGAAAATTCACACACACTTATATAACATAAATATTCAAATGTTCAACTTAGTATTCCAAAGATTGAGTTAGGCGAAAAGAAAAATTGGAAAATAGGCGCATTTCGCAAGCTAAAGAAAAAAATGACACAATTTGACCTCCAACCCGGTACTTTATAGCGGTCGGCCCGGCGGGTGCGTGCGGCCCGTTTTTCTCACCGGGTCAGGATCAAATTGGATCGGCCCGTGGGTCAACCCGCGGGTTGACAACCTTGCTCAGAAGTGAAAAGAAATTTTACTGTAACTCAGAATTACTCAGGTGGCATGCATTCCAGTCCCTTTTTCAATTTTCAATCACGAGTAAGAAGAACCAAAAATATACCTGCACTTTCACCCTTTTCAAAAGAAGGACTGTTGACTCCAAACAACACGTTCCATATCGCTTTAGGGGATGCATATTGCATTGCCTGTAAGGACACATCTTTCAAACAGTCCAATTAATAAGCAACAAAATCCAGCTGCACATAAATATATGCATTATTACTTTGAAAAATAGGCATATAACATTTACAATACCCTTTTAGGTGACTTACCTTCCAGTTTGAGACAGCGAAATAGAGACAAGACAAAGCGATTCCCAGACTTCCATATCTTATGATTTCACGCCGAGAACCCTGCAACCTGTCGATAAATTATATCTGCAACTTCAAGCTGAAGCTGTTACATAAAGGCTTTTTGTGTGCATTGTTTAATGATCAACAAAGTTATTATTTTAAATCTAGGTATTACAGTCAGTAGATGGCTTAGCCAGCTCTTAGATGAGTTCTCTCAATTCCAGTAAATTTAAGAGAAAAGGATTCTCACATCTTTGTGAAATTTTATGAACACAACAGATTCTTACCCGCCAGTAGAGGAAACCTTGTCACTGATAGCAATTTCTTCGTTAAGGATTGGGCTGTTTTGCATTCTGTCTGTAACAACAGCTTCGGACTTCTGTACAGAAAATTGCAGAACCTGAGGTTGCTGCATCTTCTCATCTGCAATTATGCATGTTCATTAGGAAATAGTCTACTAGTCTTCCCTACTATCCATGATAGACACTTCAAGGAGGAGAATAAAGAGGTAGGCTCTCGTCTGCGGTCTTGAAAAATCTCTTAAAATCCTCCCAAAAATTTCAAAGTAGACAGTACTCACAAGAGAATTCTTCTAAGTATCAAGTAAGCACAGAAAGAGCTTTCAATTGTCTGAATTATACAGAATGACAGTTCCAGCGAATTCTCAGGGCTACATACTATAGGAATCAGATCCACCACTCAGAATATCTTCAAGTGAAACACTTCCTATCTGGCTTCTGATGAGAGAGGGACCAGCATTTTTCATAGCCTCTTCGGACATGGTAGTTGTCACAGCTATGCATCTGCAATAAGTAATACAGAAGAATCCATCAATTTTCATGGAACAATGGATGTGGTACCATTTGGTCTACATTAATCTAAACCAAGTTAAACAAGACTAATCCTCAATCAATAATGTTGGAAAACAGGACCCATCTCAGGGGAGGAAGAAAAAAGGGATGGCGATGGAGAATCATGCTTTGGAAATGTAGTCCAATCAGGAGGCAGTGAATCGAGACAATTTTACAAATCATTAGTGCCTAGTCTGACAGAAATTATGATACCGGATATACTTGTGACTTCTAGAGGAGAGTACATTATCAAACTTACCTCATGTTTGCTGCCTGAGCAGCCTGTACACCTGCTAATGCGTCTTCAATCACAAGACACTGGGAATAATTTCGCACCAAACATTGTGAGTGAAAATTCCGTCTAATTTATAATCCTGAAAGAATAAGGCTGTCCTGTCGCCTGAGAAACATTATCAGATAACAAACCTCACTAGGTGGAACATCCAATATTCTTGACGCGGCCAAGAAAATGTCAGGAGCTGGTTTCAAGTTCTCAAAAGCATCTGCTGACACAATAGCATCAAACCTGATAGCAAAAAAGTCAAGAAACGACCATAAGGACTAATACTCCCCATCCATACAAGTCACAAGCAAGCTTCAGAAGCTTACATTGAAATAGGTAAACCAGCAGCAGCCAAGTTCGCATTGACCTTTATACGGTCAGCACTAGAAGCAACAGCTACTTTGAGGCCTTTGCTTTTGCACTGTTTAAAAATAAGCATAAAGCACTCAACAAAACTTGATAATTCAACATACAGCTGAAAATTCAGTATAATCACTAAGTAACAAACCTGAGTAACCAGTTCAAGAGCACCTGGGAATCCAATCCCAGACTCGGGTTTTGCATACTGGAAAACACCACCCCCAAGACCATGTCAGAGATAAAGCAAGCGAAAACCATTCCAATCGAACATAATCTTCAGAAACTAGTCATCACCTTATCCAGATAGATCTCGAAGAACCTCTTCTTGGCTGCCTCCGGATCAAACCCATCAACTCCCTTAGCATTCGCTACCCCGCCTAGAAAGTTTATTTCACCTAGTACATGGAATGCATGAACATTGATAGACTGCGGTCACCAACCCAGTAAGCAAACACCGATTCAAAACATCAATTCAGCATTTCCATTCCTCATTTAGAAGGAAGTTCAGTAAGAACCATCAGAGAGACTTCAATTCTCAACAATTGCAGAGAAATTCAAACCATATTTTTAGCTATGATCAAGAAACGTTTACCAGTGCCAGTGAACGGCACAAAATCGTCCACCGTGACCTGAACACCCATTTCAGCAAAGACATCCACGGCCGCCATTCTAGAGGGCTCTTCGCTGTTGCAGAGCACTCCATCCATGTCGAAAAGCACAGCAGAAACTTTACCCCACTGGTTCGTTGCCGTTGCGGCTCCTTGCTGTTGCTCCACCTTCAGGCAAGCGCTCACCGGTCTTCGCCTCAAACCTTGCTTCTTCGATCGCCGCTGGAAGAGGTGATCAAGCGTCCTGGAGACGGGTGTGGGACTAGAAACGAAAGTGGAAGAGAAGAAGAAGGAATTTGGGCGTGACAGAGCTGAAGGAGAAGGAGAAGGTGGAGGAGGCCACAGAAGCTTCAGGGCCATGGCTGGTTTGTTTCAAATCCACAATCAGAAATTCTTCCACATTTGAGTGGCGCGCAGCTTTTGCTAGTTATACTCTTTTTCTTCTTTTTCTTAAAAATTATTTTGGTTCATAAAAAAATTGATTTTGGCTGAGCCAGATTGAAAAATGGGCTTTGGCTGAACCTGTGAAGCCTATCTAATCCATTTAGCGGGCCAATCTGTCAATCAAGGTCTTTATTTGAAAATTGTATTTCATTACTCGAGATTTTTCTCTCTCCTTTCTCTCTCCTTCCCCGAAACTCTCTGAAAACTTCTTTTTTCATCGCGATGGCCGTCGTCGCCGACGGAGTCACGCCTGGCGCCGTTGGTGGCGGTAGGCCCTGGGCTTCTCTCTTTCATGTCTTGGAGGAGGTTCGGTTGGATTTCTATGAGCCGGAATTTGTTAATGGGTCACTTTGGATCCCCAAATCGGTGATCGAGGAGGGTACAAAGAAGTGGGAACACAGCCTTGTAGGTCAATTCCTGGTAGCTCCGCCTTCCCTTTCACCTTTGCGATTCTGGGCTAACTGGATCTGGAGTCGAGACGAGGAGGTGAAGGTTTCGCTCTTAGAAGATAAGCTCGTTCTCTTTCAATTTCCATCGGAGGCGACCTGTCGATGGGTGTTGAAGGGGGGTCGTGGCACTATCGGGAGAAGATCATTTTTCTTCGGCGCTAGGTCCATGGGATTCGTGCGTTGGAGATTGACAATTCAGATGTTTCGGTTTGGGTCAAGTTATCTGGGTTGCCTGCTGAACTGTCGATGAGAGAAGGATTAGGTCGGATTGCGAGTTCTATTTGTAAGCCTCTTTGTATGGATCATTCTACTGCGCAACGAGAGAGGGTTGGTATTGTTCGTATTTGTGTGGAAGTAAGTGCTACTAGACCTAGGATTGACAAAATCAGTATTGCTCCATATGATATGTCTGAGTTTATCATTGGCATTGAGTATTGTGGATCGCCTCGGTGTTGTGGTACCTGTGGGGTTTTTGGGCATGATTGCTCTCTGCCACCTCCTGGGACTCCTACTAAAAGAATTTGGCGGCGCAAGCGATCCAAGGTTCTTGTGTTGGGGAAGCCTGAGGTTGTGGGTACTAATGAGAAGGAGGTTGTTCCTGTGTTGGGACAGCCTGAGGTTGAGGGTGCTAATGAGAAGGAGGTTATTCAGGTTTCTGAGGAGGAAGCTGTTGCTATTAAAGGTAAGAAGGTCATGGAGGATACCACTACTCCTGTTACCCCGAGTGCCTTACCTTCTCAGGAAGAGTTTAATAAGGTGATTAATGGAGCAAAGCCCAAATCTGCTTTGAAGGTACCTACTCCTATTTTGCATTCTAATGCTTTTGATCTGTTATGTAGCCAACGGGATATTATCTTGCAAGCTCCTCCAAAGAAAGGGGGAAGAGATGGGCTTAGAAGTAAAGGGGGAACCACTAAGGTGGTTGTTTCCCGCAAATGACACTACTAATTTGGAATACAAGGGGCTTCAATGGCCCCTTGAAGCACAATGCAGTGCTTCATTACCTTCGAGTACACATGGTTTCTATCTTTGCTTTACTTGAAACAAGAGTGCAAAATAAAAAGAAAATTGAGGAAATAAGGGGGAAGTTTGGTGGTTACCAGTTTGTGGATAATTACTCTAAACATAAGCTTGGCAGAATTTGGATTGCGTGGAATGATGATGTTAGATTACAAGTGCTAGCTGAGGAGGAAAATTTTATGCATATGGTGGTTTCACTGAAGCAGGGTGTACAATTTGTCTTCACATTGGTGTATGGTTCCAATGAGGACAAAGATCGTGTTGTCACATATAAACAGATGAGTCATTGGAGGGTGCAGGGGTCTCCTTGGGTTGTAGGGGGTGATTTCAATGCTATTCTGGACCCTACAGAGGCCTCAAATGATGTCTCTATCTCAGGTAGTATGATTTCTTTTAGAGAATGGGTGGAACATATGGAGCTAGTTGACCATAAAGCCTCTGGGCCTCTGTTTACCTGGTCTAATCAGCAGCAAGGTAATCCCATTGCTCGCAAGCTTGATAGGTTCATGGTTAATGTGGATTGGTTAGAGAAGTTCTCTAAATGTGTTGTTGAATTTCTAGCACCTGATTTCTCTGATCATTGTGGGATTCTCACTATTCCTTGTGTCCCTGAAAAGTCTTATCCGAAACCATTCTGCTTTTTTTATATGTGGTATTCACATGACTCTTTCTCTTCATTATTGGAATCTTGTTGGGGGCAAGAGGTGAGGGGAACGGGGTTGTTTGGAGTTAAGCAGAAGTTATATCTTCTGAAGGCAGAACTTAGGAAACTGAATAAATCAGAGTTCTCAGATATTTCTGCTAGAGTCAAGGAGAAAAAACTAGAGCTTACAACTATGTAGGTCCAAGCTCTCTAGGATCCATCTGAAAGGCTTTTTGAGGAAGCTCGCCTACTCACTGGTGATTATATACAGTTGCAAAAAGCAGAAGAGGCTTTCTTCAGGCAGAAGTCTTGTATTACTTGGCTTGCCCTAGGAGACTCGAACTCTTTTTTTTCATAAGTCTGCTTGTATACGTAATGCCAGAAAGAAGATAAGGAAGATAATATCTCATAATGAGGAGGAGTTGACAGACACTAAGGATATTTCCGATGAAGCGATCCTTTTCTATAAGGATCTATTTGGAACTATAAATAAAGATGGTTGTACATTGTGAACTCATTGAAGGCTGCTTGAGTGAGAAGTTGACAGATGATGATCAGATTATGCTTTGTGGGTTGGTATCTGGGGAAGAGATAAGGCAAGCTTTATTCGACATGAATCCAGCAAAATCTCCAGGCCCAGATGGGTGGACAGCAGGGTTCTATCAGAAATGTTGGGGAGTTATTGGCCCTGATATAGTTAAAGGTGTCCAGGCTTTCTTTCAAGAGGGGCTTCTGCCAAGAGGTATGAATTCTGCTTCATTGACCCTTGTCCCGAAAATACCAAATGCAGATAGACTTAGTACTTTTAGACCTATTGCTTGCATAAATGTTATATACAAGATTATATCTAAAGTGTTAGCAAATAGGCTAAAGAAAGTTCTTCCTTCAGTCATTAGTCGAAATCAATCGGCCTTTATTCAGGGGCGTAGTATCTTAGAGAATATCCTAATGGCTCAGGAAATTGTCCAGAATTATAATAGGAGACAACTATCTTCTAGGGTTGCCATCAAGGTGGATCTTAAGAAAGCATTTGATTATGTCCATTGGGGTTATCTTCTGAGTGTAATGAAGTTGATGGGATTCCCAGAGTCTTTCATTAAATGGGTTTCATTATGTTTAAGCTCAGCTTATTTTAGCATTACTATCAATGGTAGCCTGTTTGGTTTCTTTGGAGCTGTTAAAGGGGTCAGGCAGGGAGATCCTCTCTCCCCCCTACCTCTTTACGATTGCAGTGGAGCCCTTGACAGGTTTGTTAAACAGAGCAGCTGCTAATGGGGACATGCCTTATCACCCTCAGTGTAGACAACTAGGCCTCAGTCATCTCAGCTTTGCTGATGACCTCTTGATTTTCTCAGAGGGTTCAGGTTTAGCTTTGAGTGGGATCAAGAAAATCTTGGATAAATTCTATAAGCTTTCTGGTCTACAATGCAACCCTGATAAGTGTGAGGTATTTTTTGGGGGATTTGCTCATCAATTTAAGTCCATTGCTTTGCAAGTTTTTGGATTTAGAGAAGGTCAGCTTCCAGTTCGTTATTTGGGGTTGCCATTGATTTCGGGTAGATTGTCTAGTGCTGAATGTGTTGTTTTGGTAGACAAGTCAACAAGTAGGATCATAGGCTGGAGAGCTCAGAAAATTTCTTATGCTGGTAAACTCCAGTTAGTTGAGTCTGTTCTTTATGCCTGGTTCACTAGTGGATGGCAATTTTCATCTTCCCCAAGAAAGTCTTAAAATCTATTCAAAGAATCTGCTCCAATTTTTTGTGGCATGGGGATGGGGTTGGTAGGGCCAAGGTCTCCTGGGATTCAATTGCCTTACCAAATAATGAAGGGGGCTTGGCTTAAAAGATCTGAGTTCATGGTATGTTGCGTGTCTTGCTAGCTGATCTGGCTTCTATTGGTTCAAGGGGGAGTTTTTGGGTGGCCTGGTGTACTCGATATAGGCTACGGGGTAACTGTATTTGGGATGTCAGGCTCACATCTTCTGGATCATGGATTTGGAAGCAACTACTCAAGATCCGTCCTTGGCTCCAATTCAGAATGGCTCTTGAGATAGATGGACATGTGTCTTGGATGGGAAGAAAGATGAACAAGTTCTCTGTTTCATTGATCTGGGATACAATTCGTCTTAAAAAGCCCGAGGTGTCTTGGTGGAGAGTTATATGGGGCAAATTTCGCAATCGCTTCATCACCTGGTTGATCATCCTTGATAGGATTGCAACTCGTGATAAACTTAAGAGTTGGGGATGGATAACTGATGATACTTGTCCCCTGTGTAAAGCTGCTGTTGAATCTCGACAACACCTATTTTGTGAATGCTCTTATACTGTTGACTTTGCTGCTGCTCTTCTTAAGAGGACAGTTGCACTCCCCTTGAATTGGAGTGATATGTTGGATAAAATGACTGTGAAAGCTTTGTAGGGAGATGGAGCTGACCTGGTAGAATGCTCACTGTGGTGCTGGTGTCTCTGATTCATTTGGAAGGAAAGGTTCTAAGCTTCACCTTCATTAATGAAATTTTATATTCATCATTAAGTCCCATCCTTCTTCTCCTGCATTTCATCGGAAAACCAAATTTTAACGGTAAAATGTTTGGAACGGTGAAACATCTATACACGACAGTAGAATTTCACCTAATCCAAATCATAAATATAATCAATTTCGCTATTTTCATCATTAAAATTTCTATATCCACAATCAATAATATCTTCCTTTATCTCAATAATGTCATTATATCCATTACTGAATTCACTACCTTTGCTATTACCATACTCTTCCTTCTTCTCCTCCATTTCACTAAATGCTAAAATTTGATGGAAACATGTTTAGAATGGTGAGAACTCCATTTCAATAACTTAAAATTTACCCTTTACATGTCATGAATTTTGTCTGAGATTGCTCTTTTTCATTCTTCGGTATATTCAAACTGTGTACTC